GTTTTATATATGTTCACTTTATCAACCTTGCTAATTTTGTTGTTTAAATCTCCTATGTCTTGTTTGATTATTTTATTTCCCAGTCTATCAATTCCTGTAACAGGTATTAAAAACTCTTTCTCTGACATAGATTTGTTAGTGTCTCCCTGTGGTCCTATCAGTTTTTACTTTATATGTATTTTTAGGCTACCTTTTTGGATATCTATGAATTTAGATTGTTATATCTTTCTGGTTAATTGAACATTTTATTATTTAGTAATGATCCTCTTTATCTGTAATGTTATTTGCGTTAAAATCTATTTTGCAATTACTAATACAGCTACACCATCTTTCTTTTGATTATTATTTGCATGGCATGTCTTTTTCTATCTTCTGATGGAAACTTTGCATATTTTTATAGTTTAGATGTGTGTCTTGTAACCTGAAAATAGTTGGATCTTATTTTTATCCAGTCTGACATTATGTGTATTTTATGGAGAGTTTAGCTTATTTTCATTTAATGTACTTTTGATATAGTTTTTTTCATTGGGTGAGCTTTATATTTGCCCTTCTTTATTTTTCCTCCTCTTGATTTTGAGGACTGTTTGAGGCATTTTCTTTTTCTTCCCTCTTTAATGTTGCCATTTCCCCTTAAGAACTGGATCTCTGAAGGCAAATGTCCTCCCACATGCTCGCAGCATGCACCAGGGGCCTGGTGCACTGCGGGGGGTTGGGGGGGTGCACCAGGGGCCTGGCACACCCTGGGCATGGTCCACGGCTCCACCTGGGGTGCGAACCCAGGACCTTCTGTGTGCAAAACAGATGTGCTAACCAGTACACTACGGAGTCACCTGGGGTGCGAACCCAGGACCTTCTGCGTGCAAAACAGATGTGCTAACCAGTACACTATGGAGTCACCCCAAGGCATATTTTTAATTATCCCATTTTTTTCTCTTTGCTTATGAATAAATTTAATGATTTACTTATAGCCATCTAATAGTTACTCTATTTATTTCAACATGAACTCACAAAGTTGAAAGTTAATAATTTTCCTTTTTCTCATAGAGTTCCAGTACTTTAGAAAGTTTTCAGTCTGGTCACTCCTTTCCCTAGTTAGTCCTGTCCTGTTCCACCCACCAAATAAGCATCAAGAAAAGTTTAGCCCCTTTTTGTTTTGTTTAAATTTACTCAAAATTCGGTTTAAATTTACTCACACATTTACTAATGTCTTGACATACTATCCTTTGTTGCATTTCAGATAGTTAACTTTAGATTCTTTTTTTTTTTTTGCATGAAGTAGCACAGCTATTAGGCTTTCTTTAAAAAAGGGGCTATTATTGGCTAATTGTTTCAGTTTTTGTCTGAAAATTTTTTTATTTTACCTTGGTTTTTAAAAGATATTTTCGAGGTGGCTCCATAGTGTAGTAGTTAACACGTCTGCTTTACATGCAGAAGGTCCTGGGTTCATGCCCCAGATGGAGCCACGGACCATACCCCAGGTGTGCCAGGTTCCCCGAGTGCCAGATCCCCCGAGTATGCAGGCCCTGGGTACACGCCCCGAGCGTGTGAGAGGAGATGCCCTACCTTCAGAGATCCAGTTCTTAAGGGGAAATGGCAACATCTGTAGGTCAGGGGTAGAAGTGGGGGGAGGAATTAAAGAGGGGAAAAAATAAATAAGCTACAATCTTTTAAAAAAAAAGATATTTTCATTAGGTGTAGAAGTCTAGGTTGACAGTTACTTTCATGAAACAATTGCTAATATTAGTCTTATGTTGTTGCTAATGAGAATTCAGTCAATCATTAGTTGCCATTCATTTGAAGGTGATTTTTCTCTGGCAGTTTTAAAGAATATTTTTTTTTTTGATCTGTAGTTTTACTATGATGTGTCTCTTTATGGATTTCTATTTCTCTTGCTTAGAAGTTGTTAGGAATTCATAGATTTCAAGGATTGATGACTTTCAACAACTTTCTGAAACTCTCAGCGTTACTTCAAATATTGCCTCTTCCTATTCTCTCTGTTACATCCTAATGTAATTCTAATTAGACTTAGTTATTCTCTTTCTCCATGTTTCTTAACTTTTTTTAATATATTCCGTCTCTCCGGGCTATATTTCTGGATAAATCAGCTAACGAATTCTCTATTTTAGGGAAACCTTGACAACAACAATTTTCATGGGATGATGGGCTCAGAATCCCAATTAATCTGAAGTGATGAGAGAATGAGAGGTGAAACAATGGAGACATTCACTATGGTTAACAGTGTGGAAAGGAACAGCGACATAAGAGTTAAGGGAGAATTAAAAAAAAAAAGATATGTGATATTAAGCATGTTTGGATATCCATTAGGAATGATCCAGTAGAGAAGGAAAATGATGTAGAAAAGAAGGGATAATTTTGGAGCAAAATCTCTGAGAAAGTGAGAAGGAACTAGTTCAAATTTTTCAATTCTGAGCTTCATTTGTGTTTTTGTACCAACCTTTTTAAAAATTAGTGAAAGGGACTTTTTAATCAGGCTGAGGTGAGCATGCAGTTAGCTTAACAGGTATTATTCGCTTACCTATTCACTCAATCAACAAACATTCCATTTGCCTTTTATGTGTCAGGTACTGTATTAGGCTCTGGGAACTGAATTATAGCAATGTAAACATCATGCATGCACTCCTGAAGCTTATAGATTAGTGGTGGTGATAGGTGGGCATGATACAGACAAAGGACTTTGAAGGGTAAGTACAGGACCATATGAGGGCATTTAAGAGGGAATGTAATCTCTTAACCTTATTCTGGGATATTAGAGAAATGACATTCAAGCCAATTCTCAAAGAACGAGTTAGCCAGGCAAATTCTGAGAGAGCATTCAAAGAAGAGAGAAAATCATAGTTGAAGGCACCATCACAGCAAGGAATTTGCAGAGATTTGGGAACTGGAAGAAGACTAGAGCATAATGAGTAAATGGCAAGATAAACTTTGGACAGATAGCAAGTACTAAATAGTACAGAATCATAAGAATTTTAGACTATCCTGAGAACAATAGGGAAGCAGTGAAGGAACTTTAAGCAGGGTAATGACAGGATCCATTTTCATAATATTTCTATTATAAAGGTATACACATGAGGCTACTGGAGCCTGATGCCATTAAACTTGAGAATCAAATTCCCCTTCTTTTAATTATTTGTTTCCTTAGCCCTTAAATATGGCTTCCTCAGTCAGATGTGATTAGGTGTTCTCTTGGAATTAATAGAGTGATTTTCAGCTGTGTGTGTGTGTGTTGTATGTGTGAAAGAGAAGGGGGTGGGGAGATACCTGGTAGTCAAGATACTATTTTTAACATTTAACTAACATAGTAACGAGAAAATTAGCCAAATCTACTTAATATGTTAATAATTTATGCATGATGCAGTCTTAGAAATTTTCAAACTGCTTTTAAAATTGGTTTTTTTTTTTTTTTTTTTTTTTGAATTTTTATGAGTTAATTTGAGCCAAACTGGTGACATATGCCAGGGAGCAAGATCTCACATGCTCTGGAGCAAAACAGTTTGCAGTTTCTCTTATGCATTTGGAATTAAAGAAGAAAACTAAGGAAGACTACATGAAAGTGGAAGAAAGCAAGGCAGGGATTGGATTACAGATTAGTTAAGATTATGATGTCCTCTCTTAAGGGTGGTCAAGCTTGTGAAGGGGTCTGAAAGGGTGGTCACATATTAGATGGGAACATTTCGAAGGTATGTTAAACTAGGTGCATAGAAACAATGGACAGGGCTTGCTTAAGGCAAAGAGAAGTCTTTTAGTAAAGAAGTTTTATGCCTGGAGTGTGACCACCCACCATGACCTGCCCAGTTAGGAATTTATGATCAGATCATGTAGTAAGGTTACTTTCCATAGCACCTCTTTTTTCATCCACAGTTCCCCCTTTTGGTCATAAATCAATCTGAAGAATGCATTGATGACCAACCTTTTGTTTAGATAGTATGGTCTCACAATGCTAGGAAGGCTCATTCCTAGGACGTCGCAGTATCAATGTCATCTCATTGAAACAGTGGACCGTTGGGGATGGAGCAGTACCATAACCATGAGATGTCAGTTGAGGTCGAATTTTCCCAAAAAAGGAAGGGCAGGAAAATGGAAAGCAGTCAGGTTTTATGGCTTTCATTGCAAAGAAAACTGGATCATTTCTATCCTGTGAACTATCATGATTCAAGTTTTGCGGACCTATTTTTCTGTATTTGGTATCTAGTATAACCAAAATTGGCTATTTTCGAATTATTCTAAGAAATTATGACGAATTTATGTAAGGATTTGTTTTAACCCCTAAGTTTTTTAACTTGATATAAATAAGGTTGTTATTCTATTCTTATTTCTCTTTTCATCATGTCAGAATGTACTATGCTATTTGTTATCAGCTTCTTTAAAGATTATTCAGATTCTGAGTTAAATTTATCTTGATTCTTAGATTCTATATTTTGACTAGTTAAATTTGTGACTAGTTATATTTATCTTGATCCTTAGATTCTATATTTAATTAACACAACACTATGCCTTGCACATAGTGGGCACTCAAAAATATGTTCCGTGAATTAAAGTATCTGATACAGTGCTCTTAATTACACCTTATAAAAATTTCCTTCCTTAATTCCTTCCCTTTACACAAAACACATTGCTCTTGTTTGATATTCATTTTCTTCTTGGCTTTATTGTCTTCAATATTCTACTCTGAATGTTATTATTTTCCCTTACTGAAAATTTCCTTTAAAGGTTTAATTGTTCTTGAGTTTTTTTTTTTTTGAGATTAACGTACTTGCTATTCTGTATTCTAAACCTTTATTGTTTGCCCACTTTCTCTTAAAAAATGTCTTTTTTCCTTTTCTCTTTTGATCTATCTTAGTTTATATCGAAAAAAACATCTTTGAGCTTGTTAATGATTTTGTGTTTTGCAGTATTTTAATTGCAGTTTTCCCATCCTAAGGAGCTATTTAATTGTTACTGTGTAATTGATAAACATAATTTTATGTATTCTATGTTTTTAGTCTATTGAAGACAATGAAGTATATTTGCCTAATGATGAAATTTGGACCTATGATATTGATAGTGGGTTGTGGTAAGTAAGTTTAAATTGCAGAATGTCCAATCTTAATATGTGTTATAAATGTTTCCATAGACTACAGGGAATTTAAGTCCATATTTAGAACATACTGCAATACTTATTGTCTCCCTTTCTTGGAATGTTTTATTGTCTCTGGCTCTTTCTTTCCCCTACTCACGTCCACTCTCCACTCTTTGTCCTTTACCGTTCCTCTCAAGACTAAGGCTATCTCAGAAGACTTTTTTCTGCTAATTAATTCCCCATTTTGGTGACACGTGAAGATTTTATAATTTTTTCCCAGTAGGTTGAAAAATCTTTACTCTGGATCTTAGTGTTTTTGCAGTATTGGCTACCATTACATTGTAATTGTCAGTGACAATTTTCATTTAAAAAGGGCTCATGGAGTTCAAAGGGAATTTAAATTTGCCTTTCTGGATAGTTATGAAATCCTGTCATTCCT